CTAGATTATCTAAACTGGGCAATCCCAAATTCGTGTTTATGCTTGGGTGTGCTTAACTCAGATGCAAATGTAGCTGACAGATGCAAGTGAGAAATGTATGGAGAGAGGCAGTCTGCAGGTATGTAACTTCACCTGGCTGAGCTGGTGTGGGTTGTACTTGCAAAAGCCTCTGAAAGTGTTGACGATATGTCATTACAATCCCTTTGTCATTACAGACAGCTGTAAAGTTCTTCCAAATTCTCTGTATTTGTGCTAGGTGGAGTGAGTAGCAGCTACTGTTGTTGGGTCTGCAGTAGGTTACAGCAGCAATTTATTCCATGGTTTTCTTATTAGATTGCAAAGTCTCTGCAGAAACACAGGCTTTCCTTCCTGAGATAGATGGGACTTCGAATTCAGACAAACTCACAGTACCTGAGCCCCAGACCCTCAATCAGTGTAGATATAGTGGCTAATATACCAAAGAGCACACACTGTGTCTGACAAACTTTAATAAAACACATTAAAGTTGGAGTTTGGAGAATTAAGATCTGCGTGTTCAACAAGCAGCAGAATTTGGAGCAGAATTCAAACTCTGTCCTTACATATAATGGCTCTGAGCTTAAAATGTTATTTTTGCATTAATGTTATAATATTATTTTTAGCATCAATGGCAATCAGTATGTAATTGGCAGTGATCTCATGCACACTCCTGGGTACAGACTGTTCTTTCCCAGTTTCAGAGAATTTGCTTGTTATTGCTGAATTGCAGGCACAGAAGAGGCCCCACGGTCATTAAAACTCTCCCTGACAGGGCTCTTGCCATCGAGTACTCAGCAGTTAACCTCTCTGTGTGTCTTCTGATAAAGTTAGGACAGAAAATTTCTGTTTGTGGAAATCCTTCTCTTAGGCCTGTGTTTGATGATACACATCCACAACGTCACACTTCATCTTTGAAATATGGTGCTGCAAAGTGAAGGAAACTCTCCAGAGATTTCTTTTTAGCACCTTCCAGTACCTAAAGTGGCTACAAGGAGCTGGAGGGGGACTTCTACAAAGGCATGGAGTGACAGGACAAGAGGAAAGGGCTTTAAACTGACAGAGGGTAGGACTGTAGGAGAGGCACGGTTGAAATATGTGCTCTTGGGTGGCACGTGTTGTGTTTGACACCTTATAGTACTGAGTAATGTAGTAGGGTAGCCTCTCAAATGAGTTAACTTTGGATAGATCCTCCTCTGATCTGTGTCTGTTCTAGAGAGATTTGGTCCATTGCAAAGATCAAAATGGTGCTTTCCCTTATAACTTTTTTGTGTGTTCTTTGGATGAGATCGATACAAAACAAAAAATAGCAGTGTTTGATGTTGGTTTGAAAATAATGCTTTCATCTTTGACTGTAGACACATGCAGGCTATATTAATAGGGTCTCTGCTTCTCATTTGGTCCTGGGATAGCCTTCCATTTTTTCGGTGATTTGCAAGCACAGAGATAAGGAGGTGCTACTAACAAATAGATAAAAGTTGAGAAAAATGATGATTCAGATGGTGAACCCACTGGCATATGTGCTATGGTACTGTCAGAACTGGGATTGCCTGGTTTCCAGATCATCTTTCTGCAAGATGACTTTGTCCTGTCTTGAATGTCTCGGACATCCATGACAAAGTCTGCAATTAATCCAGCACTGTAAAAATAAAATACTGCAGAGCAAGTAAAACCCATCTTCCTGCAGGCAGCTGAAAACCAGATGTGCTGCTTTTGTTTGTACCTCTGAACTTCACAAATGAACACAACTTATTGTCAGCAGCTGCTGGTGTTCTAAGCTCAGAGTGCTGAGTTTCACTTCCTCTGCGCTGCAAATGTGTGCGTTCTGCTGTCATGTCTGGAGCCTATCTTGAAATGATTATACTGTAAAAATCATGCTTGGCCTTGGTGACAGCTATCGAGAGAGAAAACCAAATTAGAGGTGGGTGGAGGTTTTTGGTTTTGTGGCATTTTACACTTGCACCAACAGGTGTGGCTGGATGTCACTGTCCAGCTGGGGTATTTGTTACATGTCCTTATTTTTCAATGTATATCTATAGCTCTTGTTGTACAGACCCTGCTTTATTTTTAGTCCCTGCTCCTCCCAAAGAGATGTCCCTGCAGACACTGGGTGTCCTCCTGTGGGGAGGTTTTGTCGTGTTCTCTGTCCCTGCAGGCAGGGAAGAGTTACAGCCGAGCTTCGTTTTGTGTCTGCCTTTGAAGCATTTAGAATTCATTTGTTATTTCAGATTCCAGCATGTAGACTTGGAAAAGCATTTCCCAGAGGGGGCAAAGCACTTGAAGAAGGAAAACAGTTTAAAGAGGTGAACTGCACACCAGTAAATCTGCTGTTTGCTTTGCTTTTTTCTCCTGAGGTTTCCTCACAGCTTTCTGCTGCTCTGTGCCAGCGTAGTGCACCAGCCAGGTGGGATCACTGCTTCAGAGCCCGGAGCTGCAGCCTCTGGCAGTCCCAGGGAAGCTGCACAGCTTGTCCAGCACTCCTGGGCACAGGGTTGGTAACATGGAGAGCAGGGATCCCAATGGAAACACCACACAGATATTATGTCAGGTGCTGTTTGAAACAAAAACGCGCCCTCACCTCATCTTTTGGCACTTTGTCAAACTCCAGAGGTTCAGATGGGGCAGGAGGGCAGAGTGTGGGCAGGGCTGTGTGCTCCTGGGAACATGGGGGGGTGTGTGCCTGTTATTCTGGTTCAGGCCAACGTCTCATTTGTGGTAATAATTACCACAAAAAAAACAACAGTGAACATCTCCTCTCCCTTCTTCACCCCTTTATAAACATGCATTTGCTGGACAGATCAGGATTTTGGGGGGGTGTAGCCAGGTGGGGATTGGTCTTGTCTCCCAGGTAACAAGTGACTGGACAAGAGGAAATCACCTCAAGTTGTGCCAGGGAAGATTTGGGTTGGATGTTAGGAAAATGTTAATCATAGAAAAGGGTTGTCAAGCCCTGGCATAGGCTGCCCAGGGCAGTGGTGGAGTCACAGTCCCTGGAGGGATTTAAAAGACTTCTAGGTGTGGCACTTGGGGACATGGTTTAGCGGTGGACTTGGCAGTGCTGGGGGAATGGTTGGAGTCCACGATCCTAAAAGTCTTTTTCTACTTAAACGAATCTGTGATTCTGTATTAAATGCTGTTCTTTTCCTCTCCTTAAAAAAAATTAAGACAGAAAAAAGAATTTAATTCATGTGTGCCCTTAAAATTTGAATTTAAAAAAAAAAAAAGAAAATCTTTCTCCCTAAACTGGAAATATATTGTTTATTTGAAAAATGTTTGCACTTTGGTTTGTGAGTTGTTGCCGGGGGTTTTGTGTGGTGTGGGGGTTTTTTTGTGTGGTTGTTTGTTGTTGTTGTTGTTTTTAATTCCTCCGTATTCTGTGTTGGACTGCTAAAGCTAATTGCAAACTGAACATATTCATGGAGAGAGAATCACTTCATCCACTTACAAAACAACATCTTCTAATGAGTAAACTATTCAAACATTTCTCATTGCTGAGCTGCAGAGGTCAAACTGATACTGACTTCCTGCATGGCCTTGGATAAGCCATTATCTCCCTCTCCTTTCTCTGCAAACCCTGACTGTTTAGTTCCTCCCAGAAGAGGTGTGAGAAGGAATTAGCTAATGCTGATAAAATGTTTTGAATACAAAATGTGATTCACAGGTGCTAAAAGATGATCCCATCAGTCATCATTAGTGATGCTGTCATTTCCCAGCCTCTAATTTTTGGTTAGGTCTTCCACAAGTGGAAAGGAAACAGGACAGACTCAAAAAGTCTATTAATATTTATACTCCTGTCTTCAGATGTTTTAATAACAATTCATCATTCATTTCATCTGTTACTGATCACTTTTAGAAATGGAGATGTTTCCTGGTCTATGGGTCTAAAAATTGTGTCCCCCACTAGTCTGAGAACTGATTTCCATGGTTGGAAATCAGCATCACCCACCCCTGGCTGTCCCATTTAATAGTCATATACACACCTAAGTGCCCCTTGGTTGTGTTCTAACCTGTCACATCTTTTCTAGAGCAGATTGCCCTGTTCTCTGCTGTCTCTCACACTCTGTGAGAATCCTCCCTTTTCATTGCTGTTGTAAACATCAACACCTGTGCTGTTGATGAGCAGGGTCAAGTTCCCGTGGTAATAGGTCTCCACCTATCACAGGGGTGCAATTTTGAAGCAAATTCTGCTGCAGACAGATATTTTCCACGGTCTGTTCCTTTTCCTTTATGTGATATATTTTAAATGTTGCAACATTATGGGCTGTGTATTTATCAGAGAGTACCCAGTGTGGAGAAGAGGAACATGGTGGTTAAGAGCCAACACCTGAGCCTGGCTCTGACCCTCCCGGGGAGCCCAGGTGTCTGCAGCTGCTCACACAGGGCTTGTTGCTCCCACAAATTCCCACCTGCAGGAAGCCTGCAGTGCACCCACCCGATGGGAACACTTCTCTGAAGTTCTAGTATGTAGAAACTGGGGGAAAAAAATAAAATTGGGAGGGGTTTGGTTTGTAGCAAAGTTACTTCAGTGGAAGAAAGCTCAGGCTCTAGTCCTGTGGTCAGGTGGTGCTTTCTGCAGAGGCAGTTCCTGGGGTATTAAACTGCAGTCGTTACCACAAGGAGGGAAGGAAAGCACTGAAGGACCTGCTCTTGCTCCCCTGAAACCTGTGTGGGTTTTGTTATAGATATTTAATGGTGTCAGGGCGAAGTGTCTGGTTAATCACTGCTCACAAACCTGAGTAAAACACCCCTGCTCCATCTGAGATGGGGGTTGGACTCTGGTCCAGGGAGGAAGGGAGTGCCCCTGTGGGTGACTTGGGCAGCTCAGAAGCCTCTTAGCTCTGTCTTTCTGCTATGAACCCTAACGTGGGGACTTTTTGCAGTATGTTGGATTGTAATTGATTTATGTTGTCATGTAAGAAATGCTTGTAATGCATGGGATATGACTATTTTAGTAAGATGAGTATAATTTTTCTCCCCATTTATAGGATGGCTATTTTTCCCACCGACCGAAAGAGAAAATGCGAACAGACAGCAATAATGAAAATTCAGTCCCCAAGGACTTTGAAACTATTGATAACAGTAACTTTGCTCCCAGGACTCAGAGGCAAAAACACCAGTCTGAGCTGGTGAAAAAACCCCTTAGCAAGCAAAAGGAGCACTTGAGAAAGAAACTGGAAGAGGAAAAGATGAAGGAGAACTTGCTGCTGGGGAAGAACTCCAACGAGGTGGTGCAATTCAGTGATCACCCCGGAAAAAACAGCAGCAGCAGCAACAACAACAATCTGAAGGAGATTGACAGGTCTCCCCAAGAGCATCTTTTAAAAAAAATTGAAAACAGCTCCCCTGAACTGAAATACGACCAACCACCCAAGTGTGAGGTCACGGGCAAAGAGGCAATCTCAGCCATGTCCCGCTCTAAGTCTAAGCAGTGTCGCCAGGAGATCGCGGACGTGTATTGTCAGCACAAGGTCGGGAAGCTGATGCCGGAGAAGGTGACGCGTTTCTGTGCCCTGGAGGGTAAGTTGGGAGATGGCGAAGGAGAAATAACACAATGTCTCGGGGGAAAGGACTCTATGTTTGAAATGGCCTTCTGATGAGAAAAATGGCTTTATGGCAGGAGTGTGTAATGGACTTAGCCCGTGAAAATGAGGGAGGGTTTGACGGTGTTTTAAACAGGGAATTATATGGGTGTCACAAGAACCTTGGTAGATTCCTACTGAATATTTTTTCACTTCCTCCACATTTTTATTGCACAGTGTGATCTAGGTATTCAGCTGCTGCTCCTGTTTCTTTTAGTTCTTAGTCTAGAGACAGAGAAGTTTAGCCAAAGTCTGGTTATTCTGTGCAGGACTTGTGTGCTTTTTAGTGATCAGGGAACAACCATTGTGAATTTTGGTGCTTTATGCTAACCAATAAATGAGTGGCATTGATGTTATGGCCATATGGCTATTTTTCTGGCACAGTGGAGTCCTAAGCATTTTGATAACCCCAGTAATTATCAGAAGTATAGTAAAAAAATTTCCAAAAGCGTGGGGAAAATCCAATTTTGTGGCTGACTTCTATTTTTAATGTTCTCGAATCAGCAAAAGTTATTTTCAAAATCACTGCTGTGGAGAGTCAGTTACCTCTGCTGGCCTAAGCCAAGCTTTGATTTGTTGCCTTTGGTTTCTCCATGCCATCAGATCACAAGTTACCTCTCAGCTTGCTGTCAGTTTGCATTTCTGAGCTGACCTTTTCCTGCTTTTCAGAGACTGCTTCATGTGTCACCATTCGTCAAGCTATAAGCTCCCCACAGAGCAAAGTGCCTTTTAAAAAAGAGAAAAGCATTGATCAGTTGATCAAAGTGGGTATTGATCAAGGAGCAACATTATCCACAGCAGCATTTGTTTATACAACAGTCCAGAGTCCCCACCCTGTAAGTGGCACTTCAGCCCATGCACAGAAGGATGTGCTGATGCCTTTGGCTGAGCTGAAAGTGCAGAGGGACTTTTACAAACTAGAGAATAGGTTTGAGATTATGGAGTAAATGTGGTGAAAAGCCATTGGGACTAGGGGATGTTTAGTTTCTTTCATTAGGAATATTTAGTTACTTCCTCTAACCCCCACGGTACCTGTTTATTGCACCATCACAAAGCAGTGGGTGCTATAGGGTGGTTTCAGTGTGGTGGAGAGGATGATCCATGTTGCTATTGCCTAAATTAGGAGATTAAATTCCCTGTACAGACAGTGGAAAAGAAGAGGTGCCCCAGAGAATGTTTCCAAACAAGCACATCTCCGTGTAATAAGATTCTTAGGTTTTTAATTTAGATGGTGCATGTTACCAGGATGAATGGTGTGGCCACCCCATTCCCCACCCCAGTGCATCTATGGCTGTTCTGTTTTGTTTTTTACCATGTCTCTTTTGGTGTTTTTCTCCCTCTCTTATCATGGTAATACTTCCAAGTTTTTAAGCTGGATGGGCAGACATTGGAGACCAAGAATTCATGGAGCAGGCAGAGGACTTGGTGTTCAGTGGGAAGATGAGAAGAGAAACAACAAAGGCAGCTCAAGTTGAAGGGGAGATAAAAAGGACAGCAGAGAATTAAGAATTTAGCAAAACCAGACATCAGTGACAGGCTGAGCATCAGCGAGTACCCCTGGGTGTCCCTGAGGTCCCACTGAGGTGCCAAAGATGGAATTCATGGTGAAAAACATGTCCTTGCCATCCTTCCCTCTTCCTCCCTAATGACAGGACAGTCAGCTCTGGTCTGTTGATGGAGGTCAGCACCTTGCAGACACTGTCCTACACTTTTTGGGATCAAGGACGTGTCTTAGTAATGTAATCAATGCTGTATACCTTGTGTAGAATAAATGCATCACATATACAAATATGCAAGTGATATCCTGGAGAGAGCTGGAAGATGTATTGTCATCAGTGTGGGCGCACACACTGCAACTGTGCAATTTTGCACACACCTATGATTCCATCCCCTGCCTGGTAATCTTGTCTCCCAGGGATACAGGGTGACTTTCCAGAAGTTTTAAAAAACTGCCATTCTTAAAAACAGGTTTCTCAAGAAATATTTATTGCTTCTTTTTTAAATACAGATTTTTATCTCTTATGCCCTACAGCTGGGATAATAGTGTGGTCTTAGAACCAAGTACAGTGTTACATTTTACACTTGAAACCTTTCAGCATGTATGTACATAGGACATTGGTATAAATGCTTCAGTTGTAATAAGACATAGTAAAACGTTGTAGTAAAAGTGTTGTGGTCCCATCTCTCTCCTCCCACTATAGAACATAAATACTGCTGTCGTTCACTCACAGGGTGGCTCCATCCCTCATCAAAAGTGACTTCATCAACACTGGGGGTCCTTGAAAGGAGTTGAACTTGGTTAGGAGATGTTTCTGAAGCACTGGCCATCAGCTTTTGGGGATATAAGACACCCCACTGTTAGGATTGCTGGTAGGGGGAGGTGTAGGTAGGGGGTCTTGCTACTTTATACATTAAAAAGGCTACATGCTGTTTGTCAGCAAAAGTCAGACACTGTGGGCCTGAGTCTGTATTCAACATGTGAGTGTTGTTCCCTTCAGTTTTGTTTGAAGAAAGGTTTCCTGTCTGTTTTCAGCAGAGCTGTGAAGTATAAATATTTATGCATTTGGAGCAGCACATTCATCCATTATCCCAACATATAAACATGTTCCCAGTGCTGTGGTTTCCATTGAGATGTCATTCATTGTTTAATCCCCTTGGATCTTGTCTCAGCTGATCAAAACCACAATGTTGCTAAGTGTAGCTATCAGTCATGGGCATGACTCCATCCAACTGGATTGTCATAATTGTTAAGTGATATGTTCACTTGGGTGGTTATCAACGGGAACAGGATCGTACAAGCTGTTTCTTTTTTAAATATTTTATTGTTTCCAAAGGCAACAGGCAAAGGAAGTTGATTATAGCTATCTTCAGTGTATAAAAGAAAGGATTGTTGTAAGCCAAGAGCATGATATTCACTACTTGTTCGACATGCAGGTGTTATTTCTCTGGGGGCTTCTGAAGCAGCAAAACAGGGAAGGGTAACTTTACCAGTTATTTGACTTGCAGAGCACATGAGATGGCATTTCCCAGCAAGCTGGTCCTAAAAACAGGGCACAAATGCTATGGAATAGGAGATTGGTGTCAAAGGCTTTAACTGCAGCCTTATCCAAAGTCTTGGCTGAGATCAGGACAACAGGCAGCTTGAAAGTCTCCCTTTGCTTGGAAGGGAATGTTTGGAGTTTTTAGGAGTGTGTTTTGGGGACAATGCAGTCAGCAAATATAAAAGGGGGAATGTAGATACAGCACGAGGTTAGATGAGGAAAGGGCAAATCCAGTCCTGTGCAGGTTGAGAAGAGGGTACAGGGAGACATCCTTTGAGGAGTTCATTTCTTCTCAAGAGACATGATATGGAGGTCATCAACCTGTGGACAATGTGGCAGATTGTTTCCTTGAGGGGGCCACCGTCAGCCTAGTCCTGTACAGGCCAGACTGGGGACACTGATTCCTGTGGTGTGACAGATTCACTTCTGCTCACCAAAGTTGTTGGTGGACGTGGACCAGCTGCCTCCCTTCTTTGTCTGTCATCACACATGGCCCTCCTCTTGTGCAGGGGTACTGGGAAGAAGCAGAAGTTTAAATGTGAATTCTTGGCTCTAAAATAAGCTTCACTCTGTACCTAGATAAAATCTTCTTTGACAAGTGACCTGATCTGCTGCCAGCAGAATCTCATATTACCATGGACAGGAGCACATGTGACCACTGTGACCCTGACCATGACTGCTGAGATTGCTGCCCAACAGCAATGGGCAGCAATGCAATTACAGTTATACAACTCCACATTTCAACACGATACTGAAGTTGTGATTTCTGCTTACAGTCTTCTTTTTGCAATGGAAGTAGCCCAGCTGCTGACCCATTGGCTGGGTTCAGTCCCGGCGTTCTCTGGTTTTCACCTCCATGTGGATGGTGGTAGTTTGTAGCTCTGAATCCCTTGCCTTGCAAGTTTACTGGATGGACATGCAGCACAGTTCCTCCTTAGTCATTGGCACCAGATCCATGAGTCATCACAGGCACCGTGCCAAGTGGTGTCTAAACCAGGCCTCCTCTGGGCCACCTCCTCTGGGCTGCCGAATCCCCAGGGGAGACTCTGGCCTAATCCTGATCATTAATTACCCAACTGGGTTTATTCTTGACCCAAATCTATGGCTTTAGATAGACTAAAGGTATGTAGCAGGGTTTTTTGAGGGGTCTTTTCTAAGATGTAGTTCTGGCAAAAGAAAAGTCCCTAGGAAAGCAGAAAGCCTCAAGTGAGCCTGATTTATTTCCCTTTGGCTCTTCTGTTGTCTTTTCTTAGTTTTTAAATCAAACAGGTTTACCACTACCTTCATCCCTGTGGAGTAAACCCAGCTTATAATAAAGTAGGAAGGTAATCAAGCTACCCTCATTCCACATCATTCATCAGACTGCCTTCTCCCTGGTTGCTTATTGATAATGCTGCTCTGGCACATCGAAGCAAGAGCTTTCAGCTTCTTACAGGCTGCTGAGAAGAAAATTTTCCATTTCGTTTTAGAAAACACAGCCTTTTGGTTTTCAAACTGAGAGGAAAGGGCTCTGAAGCTCTGTTTACTGAATAATACACACAGGTAATAGCAATCTGAATGTCTATAGTGTTTTTATCTGACTACTTCAAAGCACTCAACAGAAAGAGCTGTGATTCGCAAGGAGGGAGAGGATAAGCCACTAAGATGCCAAATACTTACGGGGTGGAGCAGAGCTGTTCTTTAAGGCATGGAAATGAGAGCATACACTATAAAATTTTAAAAGAATGGGACCTGTAACTGAGCAAATAGGGGATTTCATCCACTCAATATGCGTGTGCACGCACACAGTGACGTAGAGACGTTTGATTTGTTCAGCTTTTAAGTGTTTGGCAGTGCATTTTTGGACTCGCTGGGTTTGATCTACAGATCACTGAACCCCAGATTTGTCTTTTTCTGC